TCTCTCTCTATATATATATATATATATATATATTTACTATACTTCCCAGAATCCTCCCAGTGGGTTTCATGGACAAGTGGGGAATCGAACCCTGGTCTCCAGAGTTGTAGTCCAACACTCGAACCATTATGCCACACTGGCTATTCAAAACCAGGATTCATACTTCTCCTGCCACTTTCTCCACAAAGTGCAGAACAGTCCATAAGGGCCATCTCTCTGTGCTGTGGCACCAATGAGATTTTATGAGAAATTCCCTTGTGTACCAACAAGGGCTATATACTCCTAACAGAGGAAAGGTTTCCAAAAGGTCATCCCTGGTCACAAGGCTGTAAACCCCAAACTGCAAAGGAAGTGGGCCTTTGGTGGGGCTCTTTGCGCCAGCATTTGGCTGGCAATTAGTGCAAAGGAAATGCCTTTTTTATTTTGTCTGCAGAATTGCTGAAGTGCCACAAAAGAGGTTCAGCTGGGCACATCTTCATCCTCTGAAAGTGTTTAACAGCTCTGTAGATATAATCCTACATATAGTCTTCCTGTCTTTCCCCAACCTTAATAGCAGGGCTTGGAAAATTAGTTTAAAAACATGATGTAACTATAGTAATTGCAAAGTTTCCCCAAAGGAAGCTAACAAAGCAGTGTTAACATTGCTTCCCCCTGAAAAATAATCATCTTTGTACATGGCTTGTTACTTTGTTGCTGCTGTGTGCCTTCAAGTCATTTCCAGCTTATGGCAACTTTAACTGCCATGATTCTATCCCACAGAAACCCAGGATTTGTAGTTTAGCGAGGCACTAGAGCTCTCTGACAGATATGGCCAAATAACTCTTCTTGTTGTGTGCCTTCAAGTCATATCCAACTTTTGGCAACCCTAAGGTGAACCTATTATGGGGGTTTTGTGGCAAGATTTGTTCATAGGAGGTTTGCATTGCCTTCCTCTGAGGCTGAGAGAGTGTGACTTGCCCAAGGTCACCCATTGGGTTTCATGGCCAACCCAGAAATCGAACCCTGGTCTCCAGAGCCAAACACTCAAACCATTATGCTATGCAAGCTCTCACTTGTTACTTAACATTACTTTTTCCTCAAAAAAGTGGGGGGAGGCGATTGTGAGTTCCTGCATGGCAGGGGGGTTGGACTGGATGGTCTTTGTGGTCTCCTCCAACTCTATGATTCTATGATAAGAGGATGGTGTAAAACATGAGGGTAGAAGAAATTGATTGATTGATTTTTCTTAAAATGCTCTGAAAAAGTAACAAGAAGAGCAACCAGAAAATATTATTTATTAAACCGTACTTGTTAAGAGGAAAAGTAAAAGTATTGTCCACAGTAACCCCAAAATAACTTGTTGCAGTGAAGTTTGTTCCTTGTAACATGTTGCACCCCAACTCTGCCTAACAGCATTCAAAGTATATTTATTTGTCCCATCAGCCTGAATAGCTATCCTAAAGCATAAAATTCATTTCCTTCGCAGTACATCCAAAGATCTGTCTGTTATATTGCTGCTGCCAGGGAGGCAATCAAGGAAGGAGTCCGGGGGAAATGAATTGTCAAGGCTGCAATAGATTTGTATGATGAAATGTCAATAGATCCCTTGAATTAAGGCAGAGAAATGCAGGCAGTTTGTAATTGTCAACCTGATTCACAGTCACAGTCTTGGGTCTGTTGACTGGCACCTCATCCAGAATATAAATCCCTCTGATTTCAGTATAATTTATTTCCAAGCATTAAAAACACAGTTTCGATTCTAGCGCCCCAGCTTAAAACCTTTAAATCAAACAAACATTCGAGTTATAAACTATAGAGTTACTCTCGGCTTCAAAGGCTGCATCCATACTTCAGAAATAATCCGATTGGACCACCGCTTTTAACTGCCATGGCTCAATGGTATGGAATTCTGGGAATGGTAGTTTGTTGTGGCACCAGAGTGGCGCCACAACAAACTACCATTCCCAGAATTCCATATTGAGTCATGGTAGTTAAAGTGGTGTCAAATTGGATTATTTCTGTAGGGCAGATACAGCCAGAGATACTCCTTTTGCCCACAGTATACATTTTGGAATGCATTTGGAATTAATATTTGCAAACCCAAAGAACTGGTGTAACATCATAATATAAGCTGGAGAGGCAAATCTTACTTTTGAATTTGCTAGAAGGCTTGAGGCAAACCACACTGATATCATAGCCCATCCACCCCTGTTATTTTCAATGTGATAGTAATAATGCAAAAGCAATACTGGTCTAGCTAATGTGATGGTTGCAAGATAATGTGTTATAAATGCGCCTGAAACATGCTACATCAGAGTATCTTTATGTGTCTAGATGCAGGAGTCACAGTCTCTCAGCTTCCGAGGATGGCAATGGCAAAGCTCCTCTGAACATCTCTTGTCAAGAAAGCCCTATGATAGGGTCTCCTTAGAGTCACCATAACTCAAAAATGACTTGAAGGCACACGACAACAAACAAAATAACCCAGAGAAGTTCCTTTTCCACATGGAGGAACTGCTGGAGTGCAGCATCTACAGCCTGAAGCAATGACTCCATTTTGCCTAATGCCAGTGTTGCCTTACGGCTGCCATAAGTCGGAAATGACTTGAAGGCACACAACAACAACAACAACAACAACAACAACAACAACAAGCCTAATAGCAGTGTCAGCCTTGCAGGTGGTATGTATGCCAAAGAAAACCTTGTTGTGATACTTCCCTCAGTTTGACTGGCTTCTCTTCAAATGAGTCAGGATTGAGTCCACTTTAAGGGCTAGGGTTAGGGAATCATGGGAACTGTATTTTATTGTGGCACCAGAGTTCTCTGACAGAGAAGGCTCAATGTCTCAGAAAAAAATACAATTCCCATGATTCCCTAGCACTAACCCTAACCCTTAAAGTGGACTCAATTTGCACTATTTCTGGCAGTCTGCAAAGGCCCTAACTATTCTTTTGAGAGGACTTGTGGGACCTAGATGCTGATTTTACATCAGAACGGAGGCACAGGATGACAGGTGAAAAGAGAAGCAAACCTTGCCGCATACACAAGTGGAAAAAAAATAGAGTGGAAACTATTTTACATCCCCCAGAGTGAAGAAATTAGTTATTTAAAGCAGGATATAAGTCCAGCCCAGGCCTTCCCCTTGTAAGGGTTTTTCCCAGCAAAGGAGGGAGGGTGACTTCCCCTCATGCATCTGCCTTCTGACTAGTGTCCGGTCTAAATGGCCTTCCCTACAACCGACTGGCTGTTGTATAAAAAGCGCTCTCTGAGAAGGAGTGGAAGCTGGATTTCTGAAGACAAAAGCTAGAGAATGGGTCGCCCTACAGATGTTGTTGGACTAAAACTCCCGTTGGTTAATGTTGTTGGGAACTATAATCTAAGAACATGTGGAGAGCCACATGTTCCTCATCTCGCAGGAGTAGGCAACCTTTCCCCTTTAAGGGCCGAGGGACTTCAGCTCCCAGAATCCCAGGAGCTATTGACCAACATGGGACTATTAGCCAACATGGCTGAGGTTTCTGGGAGCTGAAGTCCCTCGGCCCTTAAAGGGGAAAGGTTGCCTACCCCTGTGCTAGAGGTATAGCCTTCTGGCAAGTGGTTACGTCCAGGGGGAACATGTAGTTAGGAGAATACAAAATTCAATATAAAATATTATCCAAGCTAACTATCCTCCAGTCGGGGTGGTATACAGGTCTGCAGCCAAACCTCACAGTTAATTACCCGAAATACTTATCTTATGCCAAGCTGTGAAATTAGAATGAGAGAGCAATATTTTTATTTCTCTCACACCCCAAGGCCGTTTTTGTTGTCTCTGGGATTCTGTACATGGTGATGGGAAATACAGGGCCTTTACAGACTGCCAGAAATAATGCGACTTGAGGGCACTTTTAACTGTCCTGGCTCAGTGCTAGGGAATCATGGGAATTGTATTTTTTTCCTGAGACATTGAGCCTTCTCTGTCAGAGAGCTCTGGTGCCACAATAAACTGCAGTTCCCATGATTCCCTAGCACTGAGCCAGGGCAGTTAAAGCGGACTCAATTTGCACTATTTCTGGCAGTCTGCAAAGTCTCACAGTCACTTGATGTGGGATACAGTTTTCTAAGTACCAAAGTACCAAATCAAATTAATCAGGACAAAACAAGTAAAGCAGCAATATCCAATTTATGAATTACAGTTTTGCAAGAAGGGGTGTCCTAGGCAGGTAGGCACACCCCACACTTGACACAACATGGTTTTATTCCCTTTCCCTGGCAGTATTTTTCCACCCC